CTTCTCCAGCCTCCCTGCCTCAAGAAACAGCTGAAGCTGGCTGTCCGACCTGGCTCCCACCCTGGCCACCTCCCCCGCCAATCTGGGGTTTCCGCGGGTCCCTCTTGGGGATGTTAGGTGACGCTTGGCTTTGGGAGTCTTCTTACTGGATGCTCTGACAGGTTCACCTGAAGGATCCAACTCCAAGTCTCCTGTCAAGGGCTTGTCTGGAGTTCCAGTACAGTTAGAGGACTTGTTTGTCTTAGCAGAAGTCTTGGAGTTGTCGTCCATCTCAGGTGCTCCAGTCAGGACACCATCAGGAACTCCACATGGTTGGTCAGCCGAGTTGAAGTGCTTGTTACTTTTGTTGTCACTGTCGTATGTTTTATCAAATCGTTTCTGTGAAAGGCTCTGAGCCAAATTCACATGCTTATTTCCATCAATTTCTTTTATTTCTAGTGTCCCCTGGGTACTACTCCGAGCATAAGACACACTCTGGACCTGTCTGTTAGAACTAACAGAAACTTCAGGCTGTGATCCGTACTGTCCAGTATTCTTTTTAATCATCACATCATGACCACCTACATGAGACTGTAAGGCCTTTGGTGAGCAAGGAGTGACTTGCTTGGAACCCAAGTACATAGAGGAGTCTACCTTAGGTAAAAGAGGAGGTACTGCTGCTGGTTCCCCTAGATTTATAAGCGGTTTCCCTGCTTCTTGTGATCCTGTATTACTGTGTATTGGTAACTGGGGACTAGACTGGGAAATAGCACTTCTTGGGGCATCTCCACCATGCTCATTATCTGAGGTAACCAAAAAGGAGGTTTCTATTACCCTTCCTCCAATCCGTGCCTCCAGAAGCTCTTGTTTTCGAGGATCCAGGACACTGAAGTGATCCATCTTAACACCTGTCACCGCTCCTGAAATGAGGAATCACAATAAGAACATGTGGATTATAAAATAAGGTTACCATTAATAGTAACAGTAAAAGTAATAATAACAATAACAGTAACAACAATAATAAAAACAATAATAATAATAACAATAGTAATAGTAATAGTAATAGTAGTAGTAGTAATAGTGATAGTAGTAGTAGTAATAGTGATAGTAGTAGTAGTAATAGTAGCCGTAATAGTAATAGTAAGAGTAATGGAAATGGTAAAGGTAATAGTAATAATGATAACAACAATAACAATAATAATAGCATAATAATAATTTCCCCGGAAACAAATATATGGTAATATTAATTAACCTTAAATACATAATCAAGATACGAGTAAGTACATCAACATGTAATTCATTCATCTACTCAGTTTGCTTTTATGTTAGTCTAAGAAAATCAGAATTAAATTGACGTCTAAGCATCTTCCGAAACCCTTTCTTACATCCCGTCTTTTCAATTTAACGGAAAAAATTAGGAGCAAAACACAACAAAAATAGTCTATGTTTTGTTTAATGTCATAATTGTGATATAACTGGTAGAATGCGATCATTTCCAAATCAACAATGATACTATACATACAGTTGCTGTCAAAAAAAAATTAATATGCAAGCATTTCTTAGCCTAGCATTGGAAATAACAAAATGGATGCATTTCCCTCTTCAAATATTGATAAAAAATTAATGCCTGTTGGATAAATAAAGTCGATATTCCTTTAACATTTGATTTTCTCATAATCTAAGGTAGTAACCGAGCTCATTTGTGTTCCCCGCACGAAAACGTGGCCGTCACCCAGGAATATTAGCCGTGAAAAGTTGCAAATCTCCTCGCTTTAGTACGAAAAATAAATCACAACTCCCAGCTACAATATCAGACCTATTCTAATCTACTAGAATGAATTACCGCAGACACTCCGGGACAAGACGGGTGGGCAGGGAAAGGGAAAACACGAAGGAAACGTTCCCTCCCAAAACGTGAAATCTCGTTCTTCATCAGAGAGAACAAAACAAATTTCCCGTGAGTCTGAGCACCACGTCACCTTCTTCACCGGAATGAGAGGATTCCTCCTTTCCATCGTGAAGATCAACCTTAGAAACCTCAAAAAATGACGAGCCTGAGGAACCTCCAGGAGATCAGGGCCATTAATCCCTCTCCTGAAGGACAGGTTTTCCCACTAAAACCAAGGAGCTCGTGCCTGTTTCCCGCATTTCCACACGTCCTGGGACTCGTTTCTCGACGGCAGAGAGGAGGGAGACAGGCGCAAAATCCCCCAAAAGCCAAATAAAGAATAATAAACCGAGGTAGATCCCGGGGCAGCCACACACACACACCTCCATTACGCCACGCAGAGGCCTCCCCCCGCCACCTATTTGGCTCCAGAATTCCACTTTCCCGGGGCATTTCCACTTCTTCCACCTCACCGAGACACACTTCCGTCCTCGAGGCTGCCACGAGGGCGACCCCCGCACGGCCTCGACCCCGGGCAGGGCATAAGGAACAGCTTTTCCCACTCGGGAGGCGAGGCTCTGAGGCCGAGTGTTTACGAAGGGCCCTTCCTGCGGGGCCATCGATTCGGCCCTTTTTTCCCCCTTTTCCCCACTTACCCAGAGACATTTCGGCGTGTTCCCTACGTAGTCCATAACTTCATAGTAGCACGTCCCTGTACGAAGTTGGAATGGGCACAGAGCTCCTTGGCACTCATGGAAAATCGATGGAAATTGCAAAATGTTCCTCGCTCCTTCGTCAACAATGAGGGGATGAGGCGCGTCCGCCGGCAAAGCCCACGCGTAGAAAATGGGAATGGCACCCTATTTTTCCCTCTTTTTGCTCTTATTTCGGGCCCTTTTCCACTCCCTTGGCCACGACGAGGGTATAATAAGTGTTGGAAAATGCCAGCACAAAACGGCAGGCGATTATGACAGCGAATAATAACGTGTCCAAGGGAGGGTTTTTTTTTTTAGAGAATGTCCACCTGGAGCACAGACTCTTTTTTTTTTCTTTATTTTTCACTTATTCGCCTTTTTATTTCTCGCTTCTCTTTCCTATCCCCATTCCCATGATTCCATTCAGACAAATATATAACTAAGAACAGATATAACATCAGGCGTTTCTTTCAAGGAGGAAGAACTAGAAACTCAACAAAGGACATTTTGGAGCATTTTTCATATTACTCAAATAAACGTGTAAAATATCATGCTAATTTACATTTGATTTATTATCTCCTCCACCTACAGATTTTCCCGGATTACATTAGCATGAAATAATAATTCGGGTGTTTCTATATACTCAGTTATCAAGATGATATTTAATTAAGGTATGGAGTGAACGAGTTACACGTAAGTAATGTAAGTAGGTAGGCATGGATGCAGGTAGTTATAGGTAAGAATTAATGTAATATTTGCAGTTTTAAGTCGTGTAGTTCGTGTAAATTATAAATGTTAATGGGTAAAGTGGATGTAATTATTTGTACCGTGTTATAAGTAACGAGGAGTATGGTGAAGGTGGTTTTGGATATGGAAGGACATGGTGCATGTAATTGCATGAATTAATGAGTTTAGTGCATACAGTGCATAGCACGTATACTAAATATACAGTACGTATTCCCACACGTAAATATTAATACAGTACATGTACTTTTGAGTAATATTGAGTACAGTGTACATAACGCCCATGAATGATTTCCTGTGAGCAGTGATTACACCTGATCGTGTAACTTATGAATCACTGCACTGTACTTAATACATGTAAGTGAAAAAAAAGACAAAAAAAAACATACAGAGAAGTAGTATTCTCTGATCAGATCGTACGAGTGTAAATAGCACGTGAGATAGTGACAGCGAGCCTGGCATGGGATTTCGACGAGCAGAATGATTAGATATATGAAGGTGAAGGCAGAGGAACCAACATGGCAGACAGCAGGAGACAAGCATCAAGGGTCTGACTGGCTTGACTACGGGAAGGGGGGGGGAGGGGGAGGGTTGACCGTTTGTCTTGGAAATATGGTGGCTGCCACTAGCGAAAAAAGGTGTGTATATACGTCGGCGCCGTGGCTGTTTTATTTCCCCACGTGACTCCCCCTCGAAACAAATAGATGTCTGGTGCAGCAGGATTCGTGGACAAGGTGAGATTCAACATGGCGGTGAGGGAGGAGGGCGGAGGGGAAGGAGGGAGGGAGGCAGGAGGAAGGGAGAGGGCAGTGGGGGGGGAGGAGGGAGGGAGGGAGGCCGGAGGAAGGGAGAGGGGCAGTGGGAGGAGGAGGAGGAGGAGGGAGAGAGGGAGGGAGGCCGGAGGAAGGGAGGGGACCAGGGGAGGAGGAGGGGGGAGGGCGAGGTAGAGAGAGCGGACACTAGTATCCCGCAGCGGTCGGTATAGGGAGGTGGCCGCTCGCGCCAGTGGCCGCTCCGTGGCGGGTGCGTCCTCCCTCCCTCCCTCTCTCGCGCTCCACACTTTTACTTCTATTTGTCCATCGCCGGAGCTTCTCCGTCATGGGCATTCTAAGACGAAAAGCCATGCACGGGCAGGTAGGCGATGAAGATGCCATGCAGCCTGCCCGAGGCCCCTGAGGGCGAGGCTCACTCCGTGCCGCCAATAAGCAGAATCTGGCAACGGAGGCGCAAGGAAGGAGACCTGTGAAAATGGCGAAGAGAGCAGGAACGGCGATACGTACACACACACACACACATACATACACACACACGCACATCAAAGCACATATGCACTCCATGACACGGGCTCACGCAACCAGACTTTTCTGCGTGGGGTGGAGGGAGGGAGGGACTGTATCTATTAAATGTCTATCGGGGCTTATACATGCAGATGTCTACACGTCGCCGTATCTTCCAGGCTTAACGAGTTCCTTATAAAGTGGAACTCAGAGAGAGAAGAATATTCATAAAAAAATATTTTTTTTTCCCCGCGCATGCGTATTTCAATCAATATCCACGAGACTTGTATAAACATTACGTAATGATTATCATTAATCATTAACAATGTTACCGAGACGAACTACAAGAAATAAACTACAATAATAACAATAAACAACGGTGATGATGGTGATGCCCATAATGATAATAATTAATAAAAGATACTGATAAGGATTCAAATAATGATAATAACTATAGCTGAAATAATTATAATGACAAAAATTACAAAAAATCATAATGTTGCTGCTGCTGCTGTTGATGATGATGATGATGATGATGATGGTGATGATGATGATGATGATGATGATGATGATGATGGTGATGATGATGATGATAGATGATAATAATAATAAATGTAATAATATAATAATAATAACAATAATAATAATACGTAAATAATAATGAGAATAAGAACGATATAATAATAATAATGATAATATCAATTATAATATAAAAATCATAATAACAATAGTAATAATAATAATAATAGTAATAATAATAATGATAATAATAAGGATAATAGTAATCATAATAATAATAATAAAAATAATAATAATAACAATAATAATAATAATTATTATTATTATTATTATTATTATTATTATCATTATTATTATTATTATTATCATAATGATGATAACAACAACAACAACAACAACAGCAACAACAACAATAATAATAATAAAATAAAATAATGATAATAATAAAAATACTAATAACAATGACGATAAGTAACAATAATGATAATGATAATAATAATGATAACGATAATGATAATAATAATGATAATAATAATAATAATAATAATAATAATAATAATAATAATAGCAATAATGATAATAATAATAATTATTATTATTATCATTATTATTACTATTACTATTATTACAACAGTAATGGCACTAATAATAGTAATAACAATAATAATAATGATAATGATGATAACAACAACAACAACAACAACAGCAACAACAACAATAATAATAATAAAATAAAAAATAATGATAATGATAAAAAATAATAATAACAATGACGATAAGTAACAATAATGATAATAATGATAATAATAATAATAATAATAATAATAATAACAATAATGATGATGTCAATGATAAGTGATTATAGTAATAATAATAACAATAATAATAATAATAATAATAATGATAATGATAATAATAATAATAATAATAATAATAATAATAATAATAATAATAATAACAATAACAATCTTAATAATGACGATAGTGAAAATAATAATAATGATTATTATTATCATTATAATAATAACAATTATTATTATGTTTATAATAATGATAATCATTATTCAAATAATAATAACAATAACAATAATAATAATAATAATAATAATAATAATGATGATGATAGCAATCATAATGATTATGATAATAGTGATATTAATAATGATCATAATAATGATAATGATAATAATAATAGTAATAATAACAATAACAATAATAGTAATAATAATAATAATGGTAATAATAATAATAATAATAATAATAATAATAAAGATAATGATAATGATAATAATAATGATAATAATATATTATTATCAATAATAACAATAGTATAATAATAATGATGACGGTGATGATGACAACAATAACAATAATAACGATAATGATAGCAATAATAATACAACAACAGCAACAATAACAATAACAATTATAATGATGATGGTGATGATGATGATGATAACGAAAATAATAATAATGATGATAACGAAAATAATGACGATGATGATAACGAAAATAATAATTATAATGATAACGAAAGTAATGATAATGATGAAAACGAAAATAAAAACATTCATACTGATGATAATGATAATAATGAAAATAATGACACTGAATATGCTAGTAATATCATATCACTGATCACATTATCAAGAAAGTTATCAACTTTATAATAATTATCCTAATGATAAGTGGTAACCAGAACAATATAGGTAAATAACTGTAATAATAATAATGATATTAGCACGGTTACTTACAGTAATTAGTGGTCATTAGTCTGCAAATGAAACTAGTGACATATTTAGTTTAACAACCATAATCATTCATAAAAATAATAATAATAATAATAGTAAATAATATTCCGTTAAAACTACTAGCGACGTAAAAATAATCATTATTACTATTGTCACTATTGCAGATGATTACATTACGACTATTTCCCTCGCCTTCACCATTATTATTGCAGTAATTACGTTGTCGTTATCATTATCATTAATGATGTGTTTACAATGTTGTTGTTAGGGCTTGCTGTCTTTGTTTATCATCTACTTTTGATTATTACAATTACTTTTGTTATTCGTATCATGAAAGCGAAAATTATCATAAAAGCTATCATTGAGTCATTATTTCCATTAGTACTATGATCATAATTTTCATTAATGTTATCATAATTATAGTCATGACTGTGTTACCGTTATATTATCTTTTTCTAACATTAATCAGTTTCATTATATCATTATCACTATTATTTATCATACTTAACGGTGCCACAATCACTATCATCACCATTATCAATTTCAATTATAATTATCACCATCATCATTATCAATCTTATCATCATCACCATTATCATCATCATCATCATTATCATCGCTTCTCTCATCGTAAAAAAATGTCTTTCAAAATTATGATAATTAAAGAAGGTGTTGTTGCTTTCACCTCTTTCCCATTTTCCTTCTTTTCTAACAGAAAACGAGAGAGAGAGAGAGAGAGAGAGAGAGAGAGAGAGAGAGAGAGAGAGAGAGAGAGAGAGAGAGAGAGAGAGAGAGAGAGACAGAGAGAGACAGAGAGAGAGAGAGAGAGAGAGAGAGAGAGAGAGAGAGAGAGAGAGAGAGAGAGAGAGAGAGAGAGAGAGAGAGAGAGAGAGACAGACAGAGAGAGAGAGAGACAGAGAGAGAGAGAGAGAGAGAGAGAGAGAGAGAGAGAGAGAGAGAGAGAGAGAGAGAGAGAGAGAGAGAGAGAGAGAGAGAGAGAAGAGAGAGAAGAAAGAGAGAGAGAGAGAGAGAGAGAGAGAGAGAGAGAGAGAGAGAGAGAGAGAGAGAGAGAGAGAGACGAGAGAGAGAAGAGAGAGAGAGAGAGAGAGAGAGAGAGAGAGAGAGAGAGAGAGAGAGAGAGAGAGAAAAGAAAGAGAAATATATATATA